TACGCGTTAATTTTAAGTTTGCCGCTCACAGCGTGCTGTGTTCGTGAAGTTGTGATGATGTCGCATACGCGCTTTCGTTGAGCGCGCTTTAGTCTACCGCGGTTTTGTGGTGGAACCTCTTTTCCCCATTGACTGCTTGTGTGAAGCCAGCAGGGAAGATTCCAAATGGCTATAACCTCTTTATAAGTGTGAACTGATTGTCCAGCATCCAAATTGTAATTATGTGACAGGTACAATAGTTGAAACATCAATGAGTGGGATAGAAGTCCTTGTTCAGCCACATCACAACTTCAAATGGTAGCTGTGCTCATTGTTTGGTAAGCAAGAGACCAAGAAGTTTCCTTTCTCTTCTCCTCACTCTTTGTACTGCTGGCTGAGAAGCAGGAACCAGCCCAAACTCACATGAACTGCTGCTCCCATGATTCCCCTGAGGAGCAGCAAGAAATGGCCAGCAGAAAAAGCGGCAATATCAGGGAAATTAAAAAGTTCTCTGCAAGAACTTCTGGGTCCTAGTGAAAACCACAAACTTTATAGGGCAACTTTAGCATGAAAGGGGCATGGGAAGACACACAGGTATCCCTGAATAAAAGTGAAGTGGCAGCTTTGATGTTTCACTGAAAGGCATTTATGGTAGATGGTTTTCCCAACCAGGCATCCCTTTTGAAATCTCATATCCAATATTTTCTTCGCCGTGACCCAAAAGATAATGATTATTAAGAGAAGATTGGTCTATAGGTCTGTTTCTTCTTGAGTCAAAACAGCAGGCTGCATTTTGATCAGGGATATAGTTTGACCAAAAAGCTGATATTTTGGCTGGGCCTACAGAACACTGGAGTCAAAGATTTATCTGGAATGGCTATGCTGAATGATTGGTATCTTTCACTTCCATGACTTAAAATTGTTCCAAGTATGACTGGAAAATCAGCATGAAATAACTGCATATTCAAAGAACACTCTTCTGGTTGAATTACTTCAAGAGTGAGTCTTGGCATTACTTTTGGACCATGAAAAAAACATGGAAAATTCAGTTAGTGATCTTTTCAGCCGTCACCTCACTTCCTTTCTGCTAATAAAAAGATGCTGCACTATCTTAAAAACATGTATGGAAGAATGTTGCATCTTTGGCCAGGGTATTACTGTTATTTTTCGCTAAACTAGTGTCAAAAATGATAAGTTTTGAGTGCTGGAAATGATCTTTTGATTGATGCATTATTAAAGAAACAAATCGGCTGTTAAGGATGGAGCAACATTTATCAAGTGCCTCAACCCTAAACCAATAGTATTTTCTGTTTGGGGGTGGGAAATGATTAAACCCACCTTTAAAAAGAGTTTGACAGACTGATGGAGACTACAGCTATCTGTGAGGAACATATGCTGCCTCCAGATTCAAAAGCTGCATCTATAGTAAAAGAATAGATGAGTGGCTTCTTTACGTCAATGCCTATCTGTTTCCTAGGGACATATGGCTGGTTGGCTGCTATGTAAAATGGTTGCTTAACTAGATAGGCTGTGATTCACTCTACTTTTCTCTTCTAAATTGATGGGGGGAAAACCTGCTGCTATTTTTCTTGATAGAACCAAATCCCCTTTTTTAAAGCAGCAAATTGCTTGCTCATGGAAGCTTGGGGGATGCAGCAGAGATCACATACCATTTGCAGGGGGAGAACAAAATCCCAGATTAATTATAAACACAAGAAAGCTGTTGCAGCCAAGTGTTCATGTTCTACTCTAAAGACTATAATTGCACATTTTCTCTCAAAGTATGCTCCATGCAGGAGCTGGGTTATCCAAAATAATGCATCGTAGATATATCCCTTATATTTAAAAATGCAGTATAAGCGTGCATTGCACATTAAAATAATAAGTGAAGCAGTTGTTACTCCAGGGTGCAGATAGTTCTATTTATTCTCTGAGCACCCGGGTGGGAAAACAATATTGGGAACTACAAATGTTATTTCTTCCTTGTGAAAAATTGGGGGAAAAATGAGGCTTCGCTGTAAAGGAAATCCTTGGAAATATTTTCAGGCATATGGTTGGATGTGTTCAATAACCATGGTTATAAACAATTAGCAATGTATGTTTTACTTATTGGCTTTTTTGGTTTTAACGCCTGGTAAAATACATTGATAAAATGCCACATTTATTCTCTGAGCACCCGGGTGGGAAAAAAGATTTAAAGATTTAGTGGAGGGTTTTACAACGTTTTGTGAAATCCTAATTGTTCCTGTGCGAGGCAGTATAAGTCAAGTGATGTCACCATTTTTTCCCCTATCAATTAGAATCATCTTGTTCTCCATCCAATTGTATTGAGGCCCTGAATTATATAATGGAGCACAGCTTTTGCAGCAAATTTACCTAAACTAGTTCTTCAAGCTTCTGCAAGCTCCAGCCCCATATTGCTTGCAGAAAATATTTCCCCGTGGATTTGAATGGGACAGAGAATTTTCCCGGAAGGTTGGGAGTTGTGTTTTTCTCCCTGGAAGAGGAAATGCGTCAAAAAAAATAAAGAGAGATGTATAACACAGGTAAGTGCTAATTACATGTAATTATGTAGTTAAGAGCACCGGGCTTAAAACAGGGAGAGTGAGTTCTAGGTCTGTCTTAGGCATGGAGCCAATTGGCTGATTTCGTGACCCGTCAAATGCGTGCAAGACAAAAGCGCGCTGACAAAACCGTGGTGTTAAAACCGCGATGTCATCAACGCGCCGACAACAGCGCGTCGACAGAAGCGCGATTTAACGTAAGGGTTAGGTTTAGGTTTACGGCGCGATTCAGCGCTCATTCATCGGCGCGGTTTAGAACTCGC